CACTATCAAACAATTTTATGTTAAAATACTCAACAAACGTTTACTTTATCTCAATTATAAGTCATATGAACAGCAAACATGGTAATGTTTGCCCTTTACTCTTGTTAGATCACAGCTATGAATCGTTTTTTTAAAAATTAAAGTTTAATAAGAAAACAAAATCAATTCTGATCATGCAAGCCGTTACACCGCTGTGCTAATGTAACTTGAACCCTGACCCCTGGATTAACAGGAAGTGCTACGTTTAGCGGCAGTTATGCATTTAAATCATCACGTTTGTGTGTTTGATGGTATCGTACAGGTTTATAAAATATTTCCGTGCAGTTGTTCTTTTTTTAAAACACAGAAACGGTTTCGTTACCTGTTTTGTCGCTACGTTTCGCCGGCGGCTGCAGGCTTCCTCAGGCTGACGCCGATGGCGGCGCGTCGCTTCCTTCTCCGTTTATCCGCGGGCAGCAGAGGACGTTGTCGCCCTCTACTGCCCGCTCTCCCCGCTCCGACGATGGAAGCCGTTAGGAAGTGACGCGCCACCATCAGCGTCAGCCTGAGGAAGCCTGCAGCCGCCGGCGAAACGTAGCGACAAAACAGGTAACGAAACCGTTTCTGTGTTTTGAAAAAAGAACGACAGCACGGAATTAGAACTAATACACAGCAAGAACACACCTAAGATGTTTACAAAATAATGTTGCATGAAGTGTTGTGAATTGTTAGACACGGAAGATTTTTTAGGACACGGCAATCCTCTTTCATCTTGGCTTCATTTGACTAGCCGTTAGCTCATCAGTCCCGTTAGAACATTCAGGCTGTTGTCGGCAGCAGCTAATGTAGCGATGGTTTATAACTTTTATACAGAGTCACACTCAAATAATATCTTTCAAAGGGTAATTCATGAAGATTACATTTTAAATGAAGTAAATAAGGAAGGCTGATGGTGTTTTAATTAGAATTTTATTGTTTTCGGTGACACAAAAGAGTCAGCCCGACAGGCGGGTGTTGGTTTACGTGCATCTACAGGATGCAGCAGTTGGTGCGTCCTGCTGGCAGGCCGGCGTCTCTCTGCCTGTCTGTGCCTGCTGTACAGGTTGGAGGAGATTCTGCACAGCAAGTGTAGATAGGCAGACACACTGCAGCTCCTTCAGCCAGAGGCCTTGTGTGTGGCGGCTTCCCTCCCTTTCCCGGAGAACCTATTTTTGAGTGCATAATCAGCACATCAGAGCCATTTGTTCCTGATAAAGTTCTTCACTCCTTCTGTACATCTCCTCTTTTGTCTCGGAGCTTTTCTTTCTCTCCTCTCCTCCCTCTCCTGGGAGTTCAGGCATTCACTTCTTTACAAATCTGGACCAGTCCCGATCCCAACCGAACGCTCCCTCTCAAACACCCAGAACGCAAGAATGTGCACTCGGACGACGGCGCTCGGGCCGCACAGATTGCCGTTTGGGACGATAGCGCGGTAACGACGGAAATTACAGACTTGTCTATTTCTGCTTCACGCTCCTTGAACTTCATACGGTCACGTGCGCGCGCAGATCCTCGCATCCCTCCTCCCTGCGTTAACGAGGCTGGCAGTCGCTTTGGAACTTCTTGCATTCTTGGCAGGAAAGTTTTAAATCCAAACATCAGCCGCCAGTATTTGAGTGGAGAGAAACTCTCCCGTTGCACATCAATAACCTGAATCTGTCGCCCTGGTGGTGCTCGTTTGTGCAGCAGAGACTGTGACTTGACTCTTGTGTGCATAAATCAGCACAAAAAGCTGCACAAATAGAGCTAAATCTCCTTTAGAAGATGGTTTAGCTTTGCTTAACTAAAACTGTGCACGTGGATCTGTAATCTATGATTCTGAGGCTTTTATTTAGCTTTTACCTTTTTTCTGACAGATATTTGACACTTTCAGGAGTTTGCCTCCCAGCTCTGACCACCCACTGACATAGCTTCACGGGGGTGCCTCACTGTATTTTCAAACTGCACTTGATTGATTAGCCCCTCATTCCTGTGGCCTGCGCTCGATGCTTTGCAGCCACATTGGCTCCTCCCCCTTCCTCTGGACCACATCTTCATTAGCGCACGCTCAGCCATTCATGCTACGAATTACGTGAGCTCACTGATCTGGTTTTTCTAAATCAGTTTGACTTTAGATTTGATTTTCAAATCAGCTGTTAGTGCAGAACAACGGGAGTTTATTCCAACAACATAAGAGAGTGAGAGAAGAGACCGAGCGTTATTAGAGTGCACGTTGGATTAAAAAAAAGATGGAGACAGATCAAATCCAGACAGAGAGAGTTTGAGGCTGCAGACAGCAGACCAAATGCATATTTGTGCACAAGAAGAGACGAATAGAGACACACAGAAAGACAAACTGACAGAAGAGGGTCCATGCCCAGTCTAACCAATGTGCAGACTACTGTACACCAGTATGACAATGAACAGGTAGTCTGAACACTGGGTGGACGGAGCCGGAGCGGAGACCCAGGCCTGGTGCTGCTTCCTGCCCTTCCAGATGCTCTGCCCTGTCCGCCCAGCCGGCCAGGATCTCGTCTGTCGAAATCTCCTCATCCTCGTCTGCTGCTTCCCCGTGTTTCAGGTTTTCGTCTCTTGTTTGTTTGTTTGTTTTTGGTGGGCGTTCTGAGCTCTGGGTTCCCTCGCGGTCCGATTTGGTCACGCCGGCCATGAAGAGAATCCAGCCTTGACGTGGCACATTCGCTCAGACGACTGGGACACTCTGGCTGCACGTTCAGGGAGGGGATATTCCAAAAAAGAGGGAATGAGAGAGACGGAAGGGGGGAAGAAAGGGAGAGGAAGAAGGAGGGGTCCTATGTGACCATATATGGACTGTAGTGACCCCAACCTTGAATTGTCTTTGGTGTTTTATTTCCTTCTCGTTGTCTTCTCCCTGTATCTCCTCTGTTTCTTACCTGCCAACGTCCACCAGCACTTCCCAGACCTCCGAACCAGATGTGGGTTTTTGTCCTGCAAATCTTTTGCAAATCCACATTGCTGCGTCTTCTTCTTGGGTCTCTCCTCCTCCTCCTTCGCCCGCCGTCTCTTTAACTGCTCCCTCCTTTCCCTGCTGCTCTCTGTGCTGCTAAGCACAACCAGATGTTGAGTTTTAACGGCAGGCTGTCATTTAATCTCTCTCCCTCCTTCCAAAAAAAAAAAAAAAGGAATCAGGCAGGAAGTGGGCCCCTCTGGAATGGACAGAAAAAATATTCAGAAAATATTAAGGGGGCGAGATAAAAGAAAAAAGCAGACGGGGCAAAGACTGAGAGTAAGGACGAGGGATGAAGATCTGTCCCAGCTCCTTGTCTCATTTGGACCTCCTCTGATTCCAGTGTCCCCCGTCCCATCATCAGACTTTCACTTCTACTTCCACACACACACACACACACACACACACACACACACACACACATACATACACACACACACACACACACACACACACACGACTGTGTCCTGACCCACACTGTGATCACTTCCACATGTGCTCTCATTCTTCTTTTTCCTTACCCTGCTCTGCCAGCCCCCCCCCCCCCCACCTCCCACACTCCTTTGTCCCCCATTCTCCCCCCTGACCACCACCATCCCTTAACATTTTGATTTCCCCCTCCCTTCATCAACATCACATACAGCTATTTTTTACCTCGTGGACAGACTGATGGACAGACTGATGGACAGACTCGTGGACAGACTGATGGACAGACTCGTGGACAGACTGATGGACAGACTCGTGGACAGACTCGTGGACAGACTCGTGGACAGACTGATGGACAGACTAGTGGACAGACTGATGGACAGACTCGTGGACAGACTGATGGACAGACTCGTGGACAGACTGATGGACAGACTCGTGGACAGACTGATGGACAGACTAGTGGACAGACTGATGGACAGACTCGTGGACAGACTGATGGACAGACTAGTGGACAGACTGATGGACAGACTAGTGGACAGACTGATGGACAGACTCGTGGACAGACTGATGGACAGACTCGTGGACAGACTGATGGACAGACTCGTGGACAGACTGATGGACAGACTAGTGGACAGACTGATGGACACTCGTGGACAGACTGATGGACAGACTCGTGGACAGACTGATGGACAGACTAGTGGACAGACTGATGGACAGACTGATGGACAGACTAGTGGACAGACTGATGGACAGACTGATGGACAGACTCGTGGACAGACTGATGGACAGACTCGTGGACAGACTGATGGACAGACTAGTGGACAGACTCGTGGACAGACTGATGGACAGACTAGTGGACAGACTGATGGGCAGACTCGTGGACAGACTGATGGACAGACTGATGGACAGACTCGTGGACAGACTGATGGACAGACTCGTGGACAGACTGATGGACAGACTAGTGGACAGACTGATGGACACTCGTGGACAGACTGATGGACAGACTCGTGGACAGACTGATGGACAGACTAGTGGACAGACTGATGGACAGACTGATGGACAGACTAGTGGACAGACTGATGGACAGACTGATGGACAGACTCGTGGACAGACTGATGGACAGACTGATGGACAGACTGATGGACAGACTCGTGGACAGACTGATGGACAGACTAGTGGACAGACTGATGGACAGACTGATGGACAGACTAGTGGACAGACTGATGGACAGACTGATGGACAGACTCGTGGACAGACTGATGGACAGACTGATGGACAGACTGATGGACAGACTCGTGGACAGACTGATGGACAGACTTGTGGACAGACTCGTGGACAGACTGATGGACAGATGAGAATCTGCTAAACTGACCTCCGTTCCTCTTGCTCTTTCCTCACTCACAGGAGAAAGAGAAGAAGTACATGCTGCCTCTGGACAACCTGAAGGTCCGTGACGTGGAGAAAAGCTTTATGTCCAGCAAACACATTTTCAGCATCTTCAACACAGAGTCCAGGTCCGTTGTAAACCACTTCAGCTCATTTATAAATGACTGATCTGCAAATAATCCAAAGTAAAGATGAAGGCCTTCCTGCTGAAGCAGACAGAAATACAGAGAAGTATCAGTAAATTTAAGATGTTTGTAAAAATGTAAACAATCATCCTTGAACTTTCAGTAATCGTTGCAACATGTCCTGAAAAAAGGATTTCCTCACAAAGTAAAATACCCTAGAGACATCTCAACACCCAACAGGGTCTCCAGATGGTTCTCAGTGTTTTAGCTGTAGCTGTGCGGTTCGCTAGTTTTACCTGCTCCATCCTTTAGGAACGTGTACAAGGACAACCGGACCCTGGAGCTGGCCTGTGACTCGCAGGACGATGTGGACAGCTGGAAGTCGTCTCTGCTCCGTGCCGGGGTCTACCCTGAGAAGACCACTACGGTTAGTGATACATGCAGTCGAGCAGGAGCAGCTGCTCCATACACACACATTATGTGTGTATATATGTGTGTGTGTGTGTGTGTGTGTGTGTGTGTGTGTGTGTGTGTGTGTGTGTGTGTGTGTGTGTGTGTGTGTGTGTGTGTGTGTGAACAATATGAATAGTTATAATAATATACAAATAATAAACAAGACTTTTCTGTAGTTTTTGCTTCTGTAAATCTATTTTTTATATTTGATCCTATTGGTCATTTTTACAGTTTGATACCAAAATCCCCAGCAGGTTTAGAAGCATCCTCTTCCTGCTGGAATTTCTTCCTCTGGAAACAGTCTTGAAATCCCCTCTCATACAGGTGGAGAGTGAGACGACCACCACCACAGATAACTTCTCCATGGACCCCCAGCTTGAGCGTAAAGTGGAAACCATCCGTAATCTGGTGGACTCCTACATGGCCATCGTCAACAAGTGCATTCGGGACCTCATCCCTAAGACCATCATGCATCTGATGATCAACAATGTAAGAAAAAGGACATGTATGCAACCCTCCCCACTGCTATTATGGTGAAACCGTATCATCCTACCAATGCTGCCGTGCCATCTGCTTTGGGTCAATCCGATGCGATAACTGTGATCTCGTTTAGGCTCAGTCTCTGTAAAGGAGACTGAGTCGTAGCCCTTTCTGTCTGCTACTGTTGGTTAGCTGCAGGCTGCATGGTGGTGTAGCTGCTAAGAATGCTGTGTTACAATAAGAAGGTTGCAGGTTTGAATTCTAGCTGCAGCCATGGACATAATTGGGGGGGGGGGGGGGGGGGGGGGGGACTTTTTCCAAAGTCAAGTTTTGACCCCTGCACTTTTTACCATCCAAAACCAACATTACGCTATATTAAATTGACACTGGTTGAGCTATAGGACCAACTCTAGGACCGTTTGTGTTGAAGCCTGTTTCCCATTAGAGCATACTGTAAACACCCCCCCCCCCCCCCCCTCCACCTCCACCACCACCCCACACTCACCCACACATTTCTAAAGTGAAAATCACGTCCATGGCAGCAGCCTTTCCATTTGAAGTTAACATTTTCTCCCATGCATGAGTGAGTGACTAGCTGAGGCATCTTGCATCAGACTTTCTGTTGACGGTGAACATCCACTGATTGCTTTTTGCGTGGTTCATAAGAAATTGTCCTAACAAACACACAACATCCAAACTGAGTTCATTACCAAAAGATCCAAGGTTAGCAACAAATTTTAATCTCAGTCCTGCAGTTTGTTTCTCACCAGCTCAACTAATTGTTCTCCTTCATCAGCGCTCTGCAGTGACAAACGGACAGTTTATACAACCAAATACCCAAAATACCCAAACCTTTAGTTCTCTGAGACACCTTCAACCTCTACTCCGATAAACCTTAAAGGGACTTTATGGAGTTTTGAATTTTTATGCTTGCGATTGCCCCCTCAGGCCAAAAGCGTAACGGCAGCTTCAATAGTAGGCTCGTGCACGAGGCGCGCATGCTGTACGTGCACACTCCTTAACGAAAATAACAGCTGAGATGTGTGTGTGTGTGTGTGTGTGTGTGTGTGTGTGTGTGTGTGTGTGTGTGTGTGTGTGTGTGTGTGTGTGTGTGTGTGTGTGTGTGTGTGTGTGTGTGTGTGTGTGTGTGTGTGTGGCCCGGAGGACAGAGGACAGGATAACACGCAGCTAATTAATTAAATAATTTGGTTCTGTACCTTTCTCTTCAGCACAGCCGACAAAGGTTTATGATGGGTCAGTCCTCCTGCATGCTCAGATCATTCCCTTCCCTTGCTTGAAAAATTGTTCCAAAATGAAAGTTGAACCCACATCTTTTTTATCTGTGAATTCAATGCCGTTCGGCGAGTCTCAAATAAAAATTTGGGCATCTTACTGTAAAAAAATATACCATTAATGTAAAAAAGAAACTCTAAATAAACTATGTTCACATCCAGAATCGAATCCAGGTTTTCTGCACGAGAGTCCGACATCTTACTAGGTGAGCTAAAGGGCCAGTGATGTCATTTGCATCTGTAACATTTATATCCTTGATGACAGCTGAAACAACGTTCAAAGAACTGTTCGGAGTGAAAATGGCTATTTTGTTGCTAATTTGCAGGAAATATCTAGAAGAAAGTTCTACAGAAAGTAGCTAAGGGTCCTCATAAATGTAGCTAGCTTTGTCACTAGGCGTTAGGAACAGCGACAAAGTGGCACTGCCTCTCTCTCTGCTGCTAAAGCTACGGATAGCAAATGCTACGGGCGATGCCTGAGCGTGAACGCGCATGAAGCAGCCTGCTCGACCCGAGCATCTCTCTTTTTCTGTGATTTTACAGAAAAACAGGCAATCACAGTAAAAATGCCAGGGCTCATTCTACAGGACCAGGGCATTGCAGGAGAATGTATGAAGAAGACATTTATTATTTCTATACATGTTTTGGCTGTCAAACTTCCATAATGTCCCTTTAATGCAACACATATTTCTACTTAGAATAAAAGATTGAGTGTGACACGTTTTTGCTGAGACACATGTGACGTCACATGATATCAAGCATAGCATTATTCTCAAGATTTGACCAAAACATCTAAAACTTAAACCAGCTTAGTTTGAGACTCCACAAGGCGATGGGTGATGTGATATTTTTGGGCTAGTTAACAATGCTGCTCACAGCTTGTTCTTTTTC